TAAAATGATAAAAAAAAAATTAAACCTGTATTGTTTTTCCTAAACCCATGCAGTGTGCAAGAATACATCCAGATCCACTAGATTTTTTAATTTGTTCTAAAGATTCGTAACAGGCACTCCACATAAACTTAACTCCATCTTTCTAAAAAAAAAAAAAGCTGGTTTTAATATTAAAAATTAACAAAATTTTGGCATAATAACTTTAATTATTTTATTACCTGATGATTTTTTAATTTACACACTAGATTTCTATGAACAGATACAAGAGGAACATTATTTTCAAAATCAAAATCTAAAATGAGTTCTTCATCAAAGTCTCTATTTTGCAAAGCATTCTCAAGCTGTAAATTTTCAAAATTTTACATTTTCAGAAATTTTTAACAAACTCTTTAGAAAGAAAAAAAATGGTAATTTAAGATGTACCTTTTTATTAAAAATTTCAACACGTTTTATCCTTTCTATTTCATTAACGTTAGAGAGTATTGTGTTAGTGCTTAATTCATCCAAACCTTTTACAGTTCTTATATTTTTCCTACCTTTCTCAATAACCTGTTACAAAATAAATTAATTTATGTTTAAAACATAGAAAAACATTTAGTATTTTAAATATTTTCAAATAATACTTTACTGTCATGTATTCAATTTCGCTGTCACTATCAGTAATGCATACATCACTTTGATAATTCATTTTTAATAAATTTGGATAAATATACCAAAATTAAGAACAATTAAATTTGGCGGTTATTTTAATATGTTGATACTACTCAGCCAATAGCAGAACGTTTTATTTATTATTGTTTTTACTATTATTGTAAAATTTGAATTAAATAATTACTACAAAATAATTTAAATCAGTCCATTAAAAAAAAAAAAAAAATATTTTAGGAAAATAAAAGATAAAGTTTATAATAAAAAGATGAATTTCGTATGATATAATTGTGTAGCATTGCTTTTATTTCATTATGGATTCAAGCCTAACAGTTTTTATTTGTAAATGTTGGTAGCTTTGTCAAAATGAACAAAATGGTGTCTTATGATTAAAACCACACTCTGTTTAACCTACAATTTATTTATTTTTTCTTTAAAAAGTTAATGTTTGCCTTAGACAATTAAAAAATGAGTCAATCTACATCAACTCTACCCAACATTTTAATAACTGGTAAATATATTAAATAAATTTTATTTGATTAATATCTAAGCAATAATTATTACAAATTAAAAAGTTTGATTTACATTTTAATTTTAAAAAATTTATTTATTTTTTTGAAGGAACTTTTTTAAAATTTAATTTATGCTAGTTTTTTTTTTTTAATTTTCATCCCATTTAATGCGTTTGCTGTATATACATATATTACATGTATATACAGTGAACATATTACTGTATGTATACTGTATGCATTTAATATACTTTACTTTGACGTGTGTACGATACAGTAGTCTTACTAGTATTACTTATTTTAAAAATACAGAAATACTTTTTTTTTTTTTTTATTTTTTGTTTTGTTTAAAATTAAATAATTAAAATATTTTATTTAGTCAAATTTTATATAATGAATAAGGTTTATTTTTCTCAATAAAAGTTTTCAAAACACAATTTAAAATAATTTTTAAGGTACTCCTGGTGTTGGAAAATCAACACTTGCTGAAAAATTAGCTGAAAGAAGTGGTTTAAAATGGGTAAACATTGGTAATGTAGCAGAAGAAAATAACTGCTTTGAAGAGTATGATGAAGAATATGAATGTCCTGTACTAGATGAAGATGCAGTAATTGATGTCCTTGACGAACAAATTTCTGCTGGGGGGAATATTGTAGATTATCATGGCTCTGATTTTTTCCCAAAAAGATGGTTTGATATAGTTTTCGTATTAAGAACTGACACTTTTATTTTGCATGATAGACTGTGTAACAGAGGGTATTCTCAAAAAAAATTAGATGACAATATACAGTGTGAAATTTTTCAAATGATGTTAGAAGAAGCAAAAGAATCTTATGATGAAAACATTGTACATGAATTAAAAAGCAACACAATTGAGGATTTCGATAGGAATTTAGCAAATATTATGAATTGGCTGGAGGAATGGAAAAAAAATAATACAAGTTAATATGTTAGTAACTAATTATAATTGTTTTTTATAAATTTTTTTTTCTTTTTTTCATAAATTAATTTCCAGATATTGCAAACCTAATATTTATACAAATAATATAAAGTTATTTGAACTTAAAAATCATAAACAGTTGGAAATATATAGTGTCCTGCTAAGATTTTTTATATTGTAAATATCTAGTTATACAACAAGGTTAATTTTTTTAATATGTATAACTTCAGGTTATTAATACTATGTAAATCATTTTATTATGTTTATATTATACTTAAAAATGCAAATTGTTGTTGATTTTATTCAAATTTATCTAAAAAGAATACACGACAATCATTTTAAACATTTATTAACAACAATTTTACAAATTCCCATTATTTTGCAGACATTTTTATAAATAAATAATATTCATAAAACTATGAGAATCTTCACTGGCTTTACATCAAATTGACATAATTTATTTCATTTCGTTCTTCAATTTTTCAATTATTTCTTCGGTGCTTAAATCTTTTTTCGATATTAACAAAATTTTTTGTCGACTCTTTGAACCCTGTAACATAAGTTTGTTATTAAACACAAATCCCATTTTTGTTTAACATTTTATTTTGCATTTTCATAAGAGTACTTTTTCTAAAGAAATTTCTGTCTTTCTCAAGCCGAGCAAACATGACATGTAATTTACAAGTTCTGAATTTGCTTCTCCATCAACAGGGCGGGCATTTATTTGAACTCCAATTCCTTCTTCATCAATCCCAGTAATGGCATTTGTTTTTGCTCCAGGTTTAGCAAATATTTGTAACATTATGTTACCATCTTTACTAATAGAAACGGGAGACAATTTTTTTTCAGGTGTCTACTCATAAACTCAAAATTAGTATCAACAATACCTTTTTTTTTTACACTTGTAAAAAATAATCTTAACTGTTATTACCTGGTGTTTATTTAATTTTTTAGCTTTAGACATGTATCGAAATGACAGTAGTGTTCTAACTACTGTCATTAATAACAAAAAAAAAATATACTATAAATAAAAGAAAAATAATATTGAAAAGCATTAGGTTACAGTAAGTTATTTACTCCATGTTTAACTAGTGCCAACTTAACAAGAATCATAAAATATTTCCCTGCGTATCCGTAAAAATTCTTATACGGATATATTTCGAGTTAGTTCAACACATAGAAACTTTCAAGCCGTTGAATCTTTTTAATAATTGGTAAGTAATAATTTTTATTTTTATTTTTTTTTATTTAAAAAAAAGTTAATGAATTCCTTTAATTTTTTTAATATTAATTAGTTTAAAATTTTATATTTTTTACGTGAAAAACTGTTTATGATAATTTTTTTTTGTAAAAAATAAAAAACTTAGGCTTGAAATAATATAAAATCATGTCCAAGTTTAACATTGATTTTAAAAAATTTTGAAAATAACTTGCTTTGACTTGTTTTGACTAGTATTTGTGAGTTATTTAATGTAAAAATTAGATATAAAAATAATAAATGAATCGAATTTTTTTATTATTATTTAAAAAAAATTAGGGATGAAATGTATTAAAATAAAAATTATCATGTTCACAAACAATCTCTATCTATTCCAATTAAATAATGATTTGAAATGTAATGAAAATAATTAATAATAGAAATAAAGAGTCATAATTATGTGTTAAACTTTATCATGTTTAAGAAACATATCAAAATTCCTTAAATGGAGGCTGCTTTTTATAATCATTCTATAATCAAATGAACAATCTCTATTGGTGTAAGAACAATGGCCAATGCATGAAAGTTTTAATAATATTATCAAATTTTTAAAATATAGACATAATTTAACATATTTGAAAACTTCAAAAGTTATACATATATTCTTTTTCTCATTTGAAAAAATTTCATTAATTATTCTTATATATTCAATCGAATAGAATTATAAAAATAAATAAATGACAAAATTTATTATTTAATTGTTTTAAAATCCCCCAAGTTTTTTTCTTTTTTTTTTTTGTTTATCAATTCTTTTCACAAATAGTAAGGGGGAAAACAAAAAATTATAACAATGGCGGTCATTGTAAAAAAAAACGTGTAACGGTCGCACAAAATATTTTTGAAAAAGGTCTTTGACAAATAACATAATAAATTTTTATTATGGTTATTATTTTATTATTTGTTTATTTTAACATAAAATAGTTGACAAAAAATTAAAAACACAACTCACAAAATAAAAATAAAAAAAGATTTTATTATATGAGAGAGAGAGAGAGAGAGAAAAAAAATTATTTTAAAATAGAGCGCGCTGCAGTCGAAAACCTTTTCGAGCAAAAATTTTTTAATTACGTCATCACTCCATTAATTTTTTTTTTTTTAAAATTTTCCCCCCAAAAAAAAACATTTCGATTTATTATTAATTAATTAATTTCGATGATTCTCTGAGTAATAATTAATTCATTTTTTTTTCCTGTTGTTTCTTCGTCGAAACACGATAAAAATTTTATTTTTTGTAATTTTACACGGTTTTATGATAAAATACTTAACATTCATGAGTACTCTTTGTTTTTGTTTTTTTTTTTTTGTTAGGAGTTAATTATTATTATCTCGAATGTAACATAAGTAGTAGTAAAATGTTGAAACGTGTTTCTATTTATTACAAAATTTAAAAAAAATTTTTTTTAAATCACGTAGATTTCTCACAGTAAAATTTTTTTGTATTTTTATCTAATCTTTTGTGTGTGTGTGTGTAAATTTACATTTGGCAGAAACAAAAACAACAAAAAAAAATTTATTTATTTTGTTTTTTAGAAACTATAATCATATAATAGTGTAACCGGGTACCTCCTTTTACCTCTAGATAATAAAAAAAAAAAATTTGCACATAATCGAAATTAAATATATATATATATTGATAAAAATATGGAAGGGGATGAAAATGAATTGTTAAAAGCTGTGATGTGTCATAAACAAAACGAAAAAGAAAAAACAAAAAAAAAAGATTTAAAATTAAACGAGATGAAAAGGAAAAGCGATTTGAGAAATCTCATAGATACCGATGTAAATTTATCGAAATATTTAAGTCAGGGAGCCATTCCAAAAAATAAAGGACACGAAAACAAAAATAAATTTTCATCAAACGAGTCGACAAAGAGTTCGGAAAAAAATAGCCAATTTTCTCGCAATAAAGAAAATCATCATTCCCGAATTAAAAAGTGGTCATCTTTATCGAATTTCGATAAAAGATCGAATGATCATCCGATAATTCTTAACAGTAAACCTAATCGTGGTCCATTCGTATACATAGTACCTAATAATCCATCGAGTGGGTATTCTTTGGCACCCGGTAAATATTTAATAATTTCACTCTCGGAAACGGATATATTGAATACGTATTCGGTGATACGTCATCCGAAAAAAGGCGCTCGGGGTACGTCACCACCGGAAACGAATAATTCAAAATTAAATTTAAATTCTTCGATCGAAGAAGAGTATGATCCTTTACCGAGTAATAATTTAAATTTGTCGACGAAAGGCGAGGGTAATAGATCGATAAATGAAAGGAAAATAAATGAAAGGAAAAAAAAATCAAAAAAAATGTCGGCATACGATAAAAATCCTTGTAAATTATCATCAAGCGACAGCGATAATAATAATTGCGAAAAAAAGAATTTTAATTTTTATAATAATGATGATACCGATGAGGATGATGACGACGACGACGACGACGACGACGACGACGTGGGAAACGTGAAAAAACTGGAAAAAATAAAATTTGACATATTTAAAAATTTAAAAAGTGCCCTGTTGTTAAATGAAAATTCGGATTATCATGAAAATCAAAAAAATTTTTTAGAAAAAATGATTCGTTTAGAAATAGAAAAATTTTCATCGAAATCCCATCGTCAAATAAAAAAAAAATTAAATTCAGAAAGTAAGTTTTAACCAAAAAAAAAAAAAAAAACGAACTAGAACGATAATAATAATAATAATAGACAAAAAGATGAGACAATAAATTTTTCTTAATTTTTTTTTTTTTAAATTTGTTAAGTAGAGATTTCGTCAAAAAGTGAAATACATGTAAAAAAGGAAAAACTCAGGGAGAAAATTTTAAAAGGTTTACCAGGATTGAAAGAAGGTGAAAAAAAATTTGATGAATTAATTGATAAATATATAAACGATGAAAATGGTTTGAATGATTATATAAAACTGGAAAAAATAACTGGAGAAATATTGGAAATGATGGCGTCCATATCGTTAAATTTACCAGAAAATTATTTAAATTCGTTAAAGATGAAATATATGGAGTTAAACGGTATGAATGGAAATTTATAACTTTTTTTTTTTTTTATTAACTTTCATTTATATTTTGATTTTATTTTATTTTAATCGTTTTGTAACTTTTAAAGAAAATAAAGAATTGATGTTAAAATATCTTGAAAAAATAAAAATAAAAATGGAGAAGGAAGAATTATTACTTAAAGTTTTGGACATTTTTCCAAACATAGATCCGTCATATGTAAAAGAAAAACTTGAAAATTTTAATTACGGTGAGTTTAATAAACGGAAAAAAAAATTACTTTTTCTATTTATTATTATTATTACTAATTTTTTTTTTTTTTTTTTAATAGAAAACGAAAAAGTAAATCAATTTATTGATAATTTAATAGGAGGAGGAGAAAAATATCCAATAAACGAAGATTTATCAAATGATGAAAATAAAAAATTATGGAAAATGTACGTAAATGATTTTGACATGGATGATTTCATGATAGAATTTCCAAATTATAAAAATTATTACGGTAATTTTCTTTGTACGTCAATGACGAAGAAAATAAATAAATAAATAGGATGATATAATACATAAGTTGTATCGATGTATATGTACGATTTAAATTAATAAAAAATTTTTTTTTTTGTTTTGCAATGGTGGAAATTTTCAAATGGATTTCATCGAGAGAAATTTTTTTTTTTTTAAATAATTAATTTTAATTAATAATTTTTAGGTAGCATAGTTAAAAATGAAGGATTATTGAGAGATTTTTTATTATCGAGATATAATC